TCTGTCTGTCACACACACACACACACTCACTCTCTGACGCACTCACTGGCCTGCTCCAGTCACTTTGTGGAGCATTGGACTGCCATTACCTCATAAGACTTTGTTGTTACACTATCTCTTACCGTACACTACTAAATCTCCATTTGCACTATTTGCCTATTTTGCACCACTATGCCTCCTTACTTGAATATTGTATATTGTACATTGCATAGCTTTTTTTGTTATACGTAAAATTGTATTGTATTTATTTAAATTTTTACTTTTTAATTATTTTATTTGCATTTTTCTAATCACTAGGGTTTGAGAGTAACGCAATTTCTATTCTCTGTATGTCCTGTACATGTGGCAGAATTGACAATTAAAGTTGACTTGACTTGACTTGACTTATTTATTTAGAAACAGGATATTTTCACCCATAATTTTAAACTGTGTGTTGCTTTATTATGTTATAAATATTGCAGTGAGATACAGAAGCTGAGCTGAGCTGCAGAAGCGCTCATTAACTGTGAAATCTCTCCTTTAAAACAGTTCCTTTAATGACACATTTGGCTGTTTTCTTCTTTCACTGATGTCTTCTTAAAACTGAGATGATGCACACCAGGACGCTTCCTCCCGGGAACCAGTTTTTTTAAGTGCCTCCAAACATGGTGTTGCTACCACAACTAGGGCAATTATTTGTGTTATTAACCCACTTACTCAAACTGCAGGGAGGCGAATTACAGAGCGTGAAAATGAATGTGACATCTGCTTCATATGATTTCATCCTGAGGTCACAGAGCTCCTTTGGATGAGGAGGATTCTTCTCTTGTAGAAATGACTACAGTCCAACTTTAGATCACAACTCAGCTGTGCTGCTTTTAGTACAGGCAGTGAGAAACGAACACAGACGCTGGACTTTCCCACTTTCACTGCAGACAGTGAACTAACCACAGACACTGGACTTTCCCACTTTCACTACAGACAGTGAACTAACCACAGACACTGGACTTTCCCACTTTCACTGCAGACAGTGAACTAACCACAGACACTGGACTTTCCCACTTTCACTACAGACAGTGAACTAACCACAGACACTGGACTTTCCCACTTTCACTGCAGACAGTGAACTAACCACTGACCTGACTTTCCCCTGTTACAGATGTTTGGTTTTGTCAGGCATCAGTTCAGGGTGCAGGTGCATCATGGGTACTGTAGGCGCCTCTCTGGCTCTGGTTTTCTTCTTTGAATGGTTTTTGGGGTGAAATGTGGAGCCTGTCGTATGTTTTGGCGTCGCTCTTGTCCCGGACAGCTCCTGAATGGCTCTCTCTCATTAACAGCCTCCGTGTTGTGATGTGTTCAGGGTCTCCTGCGGCAGGTGGTTGAAGGCTAACGGCCCGGGGTGAGGACAGCTGCAGGATAACATTGTGCCGGCGGTGCCTCTGAAGGCTGCCGTGCAGATAAGATTGTGCCAGCAGCTCCGGGGTGTGAGGTGGTCCAGAGAGGGACTCCTGTTTATGAGATAACATTGAGCTCGGCTCCCTTTGCCTCTGGCAGATAAATATGGAGGTTTGGAGAGGCGGGGCCTCGGGAGGGTTTAAGAGCAGAGATAGGACGACGCCGTCAGTCTCTGCCTGTGACCACATTATCTGGAAGCCGTGCTATTCGCTGCCGTACGTCTGCCTTCTGGCCATCCTGGGCCTCGCCACCTCTTCCTGAACAGCACAAAGACAGAAGTACAAACACCGCTGCTCCCGAGCTCCTCGCTGGTCAGCTGACGGAGCCGAGCGCTCTGAGTCGCTCTGGGCTGAGACCAAAGATCTGAGCTCCTCAAACAGAGAGAAAAGCATGAAGACAGACGAGCTAGGACGGAGACGCCTCAAAAACAAAGACGCGTCCTTTAAACGCGGAGCCAAATGAAGGAGGCAGACGTGTCAGTGCCAACCAACCATCGCCTCAGAGTCAGGGATGAGACATCGGTGTAAACACTGTACTCGCTCGTATCCATACTTTACACTGTGATGTAGGATTTAATGATACAGACAGACGAGCTGTGTGTGAGGCTGACCTGCTGAGGGGGCGTGGTCTGTGTGAGTAACAGATCTTCTTTGGAGCTTCCTTTTGTTCTGCTCTCTGGGTCAGACTCCGATGGAACCTCTCTGAGTTCAAAGTTCATCAGTTTATCAAAGATCTCCAACAGCACTGAAACCATGGCAGAGCCTCCGCCGTGCCTCACAGGTGGCTGCAGACTCTCACCTGCTTGTACGCACTGACCATGACGTGGATCCATCGCTCCATCAGATCCTTGCCTCCAGCCGTCCTTCACTGACCGTTTCTGATGAGGTTTCAGATGATCAGTTGAAGGTTCAGATCAATCACCTCAGACCTGTGTGCTGAGGAGAGCGTACGTCAGATGTCTATTCATATTAATGTACAGAATTCACCTGCTTGCTGCTACTACTGCACATTCACCCAGTGTATATACTATATGTATGTATGTGTGTATATATATATATATATATATATATATATATATACACATACATATAGTATATACATAGAGGAATGTAGAGGAAGAACATTATATATATATATATATATATATATATATATATAATGTTGAGATGCAAATGAGGAGACTTCACTCAGGCAAGTCTGCTGGACCAGACGGAGTGAGTCCCCTTGTCCTCAAGGCCTGTGCCCCCCAGCTGTGTGGAGTCTTTCATAAACTGTTTATGCTGAGTCTGAGTCTGCAGAGGGTCCCGGTGATGTGGAAGACATCATGCCTCGTCCCTGTACCAAAGACGCCTCGTCCCAGTGGCCCCCAGGATTACAGGCCCTTGGCACTGACCTCCCACGTCATGAAGACCCTGGAAAGGCTCATCCTGGACCAGCTGCGACCCATAGTAAGACCACACCTGGATCCCCTTCAGTTCGCTTATCAGCCTCGTCTCGGAACAGAGGACGCCATCATCTACCTGCTCAATCGTGTCTACACCCATCTGGACCAGCCGGCGAGCACTGTGAGGGTCATGTTTTTTGACTTTTCCAGTGCTTTCAACACCATCAGGCCGACCCTCCTGGGTGATAAGTTAGCAGCGATGCAGGTGGATGCTTCTCTGGTGTCCTGGATTGTTGATTACCTGACAGGAAGACCACAATATGTACGTCTCCCACAGTGTGTGTCTGACAAGGTGATTAGCAACACAGGGGCACCACAGGGGACTGTCCTCTCCCCTTCCTCTTCACCCTCTACACCACAGACTTCAGCCACTGCACAGAGACCTGCCATCTTCAGAAGTTTTCTGATGACTCTGCGGTGGTTGGATGCATCAGCAGGGATGATGAGACAGAGTACCGGGCTGTGGTCGACTCCTTTGTCACGTGGTGTGAGCAGAATCATCTGCAGCTCAACGTGGCAAAGACCAAGGAACTGATCGTGGACTTCAGGAAGACCAGGAAACACTTGACCCCTGTTTCAATCCAGGGGTCAGTGTTGACATTGTGGAGGACTATAAATACCTTGGAGTACACATTGACAATAAACTGGACTGGGCTAAAAACACCACAGCACTTTACAGGAAGGGCCAGAGTCGTCTCTATTTTTTGAGGCGACTGAGGTCCTTCAACATCTGCCAGAAAATGCTGAGGATTTTCTATGAGTCTGTGGTGGCCAGTGCGATCCTCTATGCTGTTGCATGCTGGGGGAGCAGGCTGAGGGTCGCAGATGCCAACAGACTTAATAAACTGATCCGTAAGGCCAGCAATGTTGTGGGGATGGAGCTGGACTCCCTCAAGGTGGTGTCGGAGAGGCGGATGCTGTCCAAGATAAAGACAATGTTGGATAACACCTCCCACCCACTCCATGACATGTTGGTCAGTCACAGGAGCTCGTTCAGTGAGAGACTGAGATTACCGAAAAGCACCACTGAACGACACAGGAAATCATTCCTGCCTGTGGCCATCTCCCTGTACAACGCATCCACTTAACACACTGTTTGCTGCTACAACTACACATGTTTCTTTTCCAAATATTTATTTATAAGTGACTTATGTATGTATGTATGTATATATATGTATATATTGTACTATTCTTAGTTAGCGTATTGTCTGTCTTGTCTTAATGTTGGTTTAAAATGGAGCACTGTAACAAAAAATAATTTCCCCCAGGGATCAATAAAGTATTCTGATTCTGATTCTGATTCTGATTCTGATTCTTCCTCTACCCCCCCCCCCCAATTTTTGCACATGTCGAAGAGCGTGTCAGGCTACATTTCACTGTGTGTTATACTTGTATAACTATGCATGTGACAAATAAAGAACCTTGAACCTTGAACCTTGAACGTGTTTTAGGAGGGTGGAGTTAAAGATGCAGCGTCGGTTAATGACTGAGTGACATCACCATGTACGCTGAGACTCCGCGTTCTCCACCAGCCCCGTAGACCCAGCGGGTACTGCTGGAGTTTCACTTTCAGCACTTTCAGGAAGAGCGCCTTTGTTTGCTGTGTTGTGGAATTTGAAATGGATAAAAGAGGAAGTGGAGCTCATTGAAGAAGGCGGAGCTTGTATTTGAGGGAGTTTTTCCTTCGCTGGCTGATTAAACTGAGCTGCTGTTTCTTTAGCGCTTCCTTCCTTTCATCACAGCAGAGGCAGAGACTGCAGTCACAGTGCTGCCTGTTGGAGGCGTTATGAAAGAGAGCGATCGATAAACATTATTAATACTGACTTAGCCGTGCGCAGCTCCTCACCCACCATCCTCACCCTCAAAGTCCTGCAGTTAACCCACTGTGGTGTATGTATGCCTCTGTGCCATCACACACACACACACACGTTTGTCTTTGCTAAACTCACCTCTGTGTGTGTGTGTGTGTGTGTGTGTGTGTGTGTGTGTGTGTGTGTGTGTGTGAGAAACTGCTCATTCATATGTTGTGTAATTGTGTCACCTTCAGCAAAAAACCCAGCAAGCGTCAGCAGCCACCTGTCTGATCTCTGTGTGACCTCTGTGTGACCTCTGTCTCCTTCAG